CTTGTAAAAACAGAATGTTTGCCTTGATTTCTTTGCAAAATAAAAAAATGGCCTTACGTTTAACATTGTCTTTTAAGCCTCGAACATTTAAAGAACTTATTAGAACAGCCATGTAGAAGTGAAGAAAAGAGAACAACAAAATACAAAACAAGAACAAAACTGGCTTCTTTGACACTTACGAGAAGAAAAGGAAATCTTCAAGCAGGAATAAGCCTAGTGTCCTGCATATGTCATTTTTAACAGTACTCAGCCACATTACCAAAATACTACCCCCTCTTTGTAAGTAGCAACTATAACTCTCTGTAGCTCAACATATAGCTAAAACATTACTTTAAATGTATCTCACGGATCAATTCTTTTACCGGCTATTATTGCATAACCCTCCTTCAGGAATGCTCTTCTGCCATCATTTCGAGCTTCCTGTACCGAGCTTCACGGTCTTCTTTGGAGAAGTCCTCTTTAAATTTAATGTTCAGTTCTTTGCAGACCCTGGCCTCTTTGGACTTCCTCCATACTTCGTCCCTAGCCGTCCTCATGCTAAACTGAATAATGATTGGTCTAGGCACTTTATTGTTCACAGCATTGTCTTTTTTCCCCAGTCGGTGTACTGTATCAACCATGAGCTGCAATTTTTCCACTGACACAGGAACCACTCTTGTTAGAATGCCAATTACTGTTTCGCGTGTATTCTCATTTTCTTTCTCTGTCAGGCCCAGTATTCTGAGGTTCCATCTTCTGCGATACCGTGCGCTTTCCAGACAGCTCTCCTTTAATTCTTTGTTTTCCTTCACCAGCGACTCCATCTTTGTCTTTACTTTGTCAATTTCCTCTTTATTTTCTTTGGTTGCCTTTGTGTTTGCCTCAATGCGTTGTTCAAAGGCTTCCAATTTCTTGTCGAGCGAATCAAACCTTTCCTCACATCTTTCTGTGAAGGCAAGTAAGATTTCATATATGTTCTCAATGCTCACCTGCTTCCCGGTAGTTTTGCTTTTCATTTTTTTAGGGTTGGGACTTGGTAACGGAGTGTGGTCGCCCGTGGGTCTTGCCCTATCTTGTTGAAGTTCCATCTCTCCTATTTCTTCACCCTCACATACTTCCTGCATTGCAGCGAGGTTGTAATCATGGTCGGAAAGGCTACCTGTTAGCTTAGGGTTAGCCATTTTTATCGCTCTAGATTTATCACTATGTCCGTCCGAAGGTCTTCCAAAGTAACTTCCCGGGGGGTTTCACTTTCCTTCTATTTCCTTCTGGAGTAACTGTTTGTCGGTGAAGTACTTTTCAGGACATCTAAATCACGTTTCTAAATCAGACCCGCAGATCGTTGAATCGCTTATTCCGCCATCTTCCCCTTTCTCCTTGGATTCTATCTTGTCTCTTACTGCTAACAGAGTGGTAGTTTCCGGTAGAGGTCACGTGTTTCCTGTGGAGCTCCACTTTACGTCCGAAAAGATCATGAGATCCACTTTACGCCCCTTAAAATCACGTATTTCCTGTGGAGGTGACATATTTCCGGTGGAGCTCCACTCTACAGGCGTCTGCAGCTGGACACTCTTGCTCCTAGTGGAGATTCTGCAGCCAGATGCTCTTGAAACAAACAGTTTGAGAAGGGTCTGGCTGCAGAACGTGCACTTTCAGCCACTGACGTCAGGTGCACGCCCAGCCGCAACAGGAAGTGCAGGGGAATCAAGCGCTAACTTAGTTCTTGAGGCCAATGTGAACGGTATGTTGTTTTATTATTTGTATTACTGAATGACATAGTTACAAGTTTGTTTCATGTCATACAGTATTGCAATGTAAATGTTTTGATGTAGTAACTTTTTTCTCTGATGACTGGAGCGAATTTTTTCAGTTAAAAGGCCTCTAGCCAGTTGGCTCACGTTATCTTAAATTATAATTAAAATAAACACATTTCTCTTTTTACAGAGCTTTTCATGGAGTTACCTTGTGAATGTCTTAGTTTCCAGCATGTAGTTTTTAGTTGTTCGTGTGGTCTTGAGGAGAACGTTTCTCGCTCTCCTTATGGTAAGGCAAGGCAAGTTTTTATTACCATACACAGGGGTTATTTAATATGCTTTATAAAAACAAGATTTTAAAAAGTTAAACCAAGACAAAAAAATAGAGATGGAAAAAAAACTTATTTGAATAAAAATTGCTTAGAAAATCTAAAAAATCTGATTAAAAGTGCAGTATGTCCTGCCCCGCTCGTCCGCTCCTCCCGTGTGCCACGCCCCCTCGTTAACCCCGTGTTCATCAGCTGTTTCCAGTAGTTTTCATTATCGTTGATGGATCTGGAACGTAACTTCCGTGATAGGCGGGGGATCACTATATATTTTCACCTATCGCTGATTGGTCTGGATCCCCCGCCTATCGCGGAAGTTACGTTCCAGACCCATCAGCAATAGGTGAAAATCCGCGATATAGAAAGACGATGTACATGTAACCCTTCATCTCTCCCTCAACATACACCGCTGCGGCTAGGGGACTCTGCGTTGTGTTAGTATTATCTGGAAACTCGCAGGGGTGCAGCCGGAAGGAGGGAGGCGGCGGTCACAGAGTGAGACGAGAGAAGAAGAGACTCGAAGGCTCGGTACAAGGACAGCGGGACCATTTATTGACTCCACAACCGGCGGCTAGATACATCCAATTCAGACCTGTAGGGTCGGTATATCCAACTGGGAAAAAAAAAACAGGTTGCACTTGGGAACCCGTGCCGACCCTACGGAATCACAGAGGGACCAAAAAAAACCGCCAGAAAATCACAAACCTGGAACATAGTGTGGTGCAATATTGCCACCTCCTGGCATAACACATCTGCTGCCTTACATACATAAACTTTTTATAGTTTAAACCTTAAAATACCACTCTCACATGCTTTAAACACATGTGAACTTATTAAAACGCACTTTGTAAACACATATGATATGTGGATGTTGGGCTAAGGATATGAGTGACATAAAATATGAGAAATTCTGGTATCATTCGAATGTTTCTTGTAATGCATCGTGTTGGTCTTAAATTTTACTCATAATGGTCTTAAAATTTCTTAAAAAGGTCTTAAATTTAACTTACTGAAACCTGCAAGAACCCTGTTTTTGCAAAAAATGGTCTGTTACGGAACGACATGTAGTATTACTACAATAAAACATGTGGTGTGTTCAAAATGTGAAGTTTTGTCATGTTTTTTGGAGGGGGAGGGGGTGGCTTGGGGCGCCGGGAGGGAGTCTCGCCCGGGGAGCAATTCAGTGTAGAACCGCCACTGTAATTGAGCAATCAGAAATTCTTATAGCGCGGTAGCTTAATGTGCTGTTTGCGTGAAATTAATTTTAAGAAAGGCAAGACTTTATAAATAAAGGTGAAAATTTCATTGCAACCTTTACCCTAAAATGCTGCATTGTCAAAAATGAAGTGTTTGCTATCTGGTCAGGAAGTGGAGGCAAGATGATTTTATGAAAGTGTCTTGTAGTGATCATGCTTTTGAAGCTGAAGAATGTCTAAAGAATGTCTTTAGTTCAAGTATCTTTATTGCCATCTCCAATTATATGATGCATGAGAAATTTACATCTTGTTGATTGAATTACCAAGACACAGTAATAAATACAATATAAATATGTAAGACATTTAAACAAGACATTGAGACATGGACATATCACATGAGACAAAAAATACAGTTAAAATGCAGTTAAAAAATTGTTTAAAAACATGCAGTTTAGCTAATGGGAATTAAATTAAATAATCAGTAATGTGCAATAAATAGATCTTTGTTACAGTATAATGATTCCAGTGCAAAGAGGAAAGTTTATCATTTTAGGAGATGCAGTCTAATACTGGAAGGGGGCAGACTGTTCAGCAGTCAAACTGCCTGGGGAGAAAGACTGTTTTTAAGCCTCACTGTCCTGGCTTTGAGGCTGCAGAACACGCTACTATAGATGGCAGTGGGACAAAGACGTTGTGAAAGGGGTGGGATGGGTCTTTGATCATTCCAGTGGTCCTCTGGATGCAGTGGCCATTACAGATGTTCAGCAGAGAAGGCTGCATGGTCCTAGTTGTTCTGATGACCCGCTGGAGGACCTGGTGATGTGAGGCATTGCAAGACCCGAACCAGGCTGTTTGCAAGGACCCTCTGGACAATACCTCTGTAAAAAGTGGACAGGAAGGGAGATGGCAGTCAGTCCTGTCTGAAGCACTACAGGAAGTGAGTTTGCCGCTTGGCCTTCTTGGTCAGGGAGGTTATGTCCTGGTCCCAGGAGAGATCCTCAGTAAGGTGCACACAGAGAAATTGAAAGCTCTTAGCTCTGCTGACAGGAGAGCCACCGATGTATGATGTTATGCTCAGCCTAGGATCCTCTGAAATCTACAATCATTTTGTCCATCTTGGCAAAGTCGAGCAGGGGATCGTGGACCAAGCACTACTTGACAAGTTTGCTTGCTTCCTGAGGGTAGATGGATAGAGGTAGATGGACACAGTATAGCTGCCAAACAATGCTAAAGTACAACCTGAAAAAGTATTGCAGAACCACAGAACATAGTCTCGATAAAAACTACAATATGACTCCAAAAAGCTGGAATTCATGGCACAGTTGTATTTATTTATATAATATTTATTTTGAAAAGTAAATAGATGTCACTGTGGCAGTATTATTTGTCTGAAATAGTCAGCAGGATTGGATGACTGCATAAAAAGCTTCTTTCAGCTTGAACCATCGCATCCGAGGTGCTCAAACAAATCCACTCCAAGGTATATTCCTGCCTCTCTATGGAGGATGGATGTTTAATTAATAATATTAACAATAATTTATAATAATTGACGTGTACAAATAGGTTTGGCGTGGAATCACATAATTTATCTGCTAAAACAGTCTAATATAACAAATATGATATTTTAGAAACTGAGTCTAGAATGTATGGTTTTAACGTGTTTATGTTTTATTTTGGAGCGTCCGTTTCTCTCGTATCTTATCTGCCTAGTAACGAATTACGTGGCGCCGCCGCCGCTGATGATTGGTTCCCGTAATACCGGTATCCGTCTATAGACTCGCTTCACTTTCACAGTCTCACTCTCAGCTCTACGATCAGCGGTTTGTTCGACGCAGACATGTGTACGTGGTTCCCCAGCGCCTTTCGGGCTCTTGCTGCGCTGTCCGTGCTGTCCGTCGTCGGTAAGCGACCGACGTCTCTCTCCTGTGTACAGTATAAGTATTTATGAAAATTATGTATAACATAATTATTATGTAGTATAATTTTTTTAAAATATGGTTGCCTAGACTTTATGGTCACTTAAATCTGAAACTAGAATTTGAATTTTTAAATATCATTTTTAAGTAGATGATAGAACACTTTTATGTATAGAATATGGTGTATAAACACATAAAGTAACCATGAGTAACGATGGTTTTTAAAACTAAGCGCGCGCAAGTTTCAACGGCCAGTAACGGTAATTAGATGTTAAGCTTAGAAAATGAAAAAGAAACATATTAAATCCTTCATAAATTCTATGTGAGATTGGGTGTTTGAAGAAAGAAGAAGAAAATACTCAAAAATCACTCAAAAGTTCATGGGAGCGCTTTTTTGAGGCGATTCCTATGGAAATGTTAAGTCCTGTGGGTGAGTTTGGTTCCCAGTAACACGATGAGAAGCCTGACTTTTAGGTCGCATCTTAAAAATAACAAAAATGAAGTGTGTGTGTTAAAGAAAATGTGCTGCTCGTTTATTGTATTCATTGGTAAATTAACCAATATAAAACTGTGAAGTGAAACCGCATTAAAATGCATTAATGTGAGTTTGTTTCTATCAGACGGTTATTCCTATCACATACAAAAGGAATGCCGCTACAGCTCACAGGACCTGAAGGACACCGAGTTTCTCGAGAGACGTATCTTTAACAAGCAGGAGTGGCTGAGGTATAACAGCACTCTGAATGAGTACATTGGTTACACTGACATCGGAGTGAAAAATGCAGACAGATTCAACAAAGACGAAGCAGAACTGGCAGGAGTGCATTCCAACCTGGACGCATACTGCAAGAACAACGCTGAGAAGTACTTTAAGGCCATACTGTGGAATAAAGGTGAGTGACACTGAGCGGAGTGAGAAACGGCATAAGGAAGAGCGTCGCCGTGGACAGTTACTGTACTTATTATTTATTTACAAAAGTCTGAAACAGCAGAAAGACGAATTCAGCGCGTTACTGAATAACTGAAGCCGCGGTCAGACATGCTGAGGGAAACATCGAAAAGCAAGGGGGGTGGAGGGGTCATGTGCTGCAAAGAAAATGGGCACAGTGGTTTACCTGTGGTGGATTAAAACACACATTACAGAGTACTGCAGGTAACGGGGTCCAGACTCCTACAGGAAGTGGGCAAGGAGGGATGATGGCTGACCTGTATGATTTCATCCACATAGCACTTAATGTAGGCCTCTTAAATTTTGTATATTTACATTTATATAAAATTTGTCTATATTGTAATGGTGGTTCTAATTGGTAACCCATGCTTGGTAATTGTTATCATTATTTTAAATTATATTGAATGGTTTGAGCAGTTACATTCATTAGCTCTGCATGGCCTTTTTGGTCCTAATGGTTATGTTTCTATCTGCTGCTGATTTAATTCCCAGGATATGTTTATTAATTTGATTCTCTTCTGTTACATTTTAGTTGAACCCACTGTCAAGGTCAAAACTGTAAAGGCCTCCAGTGAAAGGCACACCACGAAGCTGCAGTGCAGTGCGTATGACTTCTACCCCGAAGGAATCAAACTGAAATGGCTGAGGAACGGAGAGGAGGTGACACGTGATGTGACCTCCACCGAGGAGCTTTATGATGGAGACTGGTATCACCAGATCCACTCCTATCTGGAGTTCACACCCCAGTCTGGAGAGACCATAGAGTGTCAGGTGGATCACAGCAGCTTCAGCCAGCCCAAGACCTATAAATGGGGTAAGACAGTAACAAAAGACCAACAGGATTAAAGAGGTGAACACTATTAGCGAAGACAAACATTGGTATAAAATGTGCTCAGTTCTCTTCTACTTTTATTTAAACTTTATATATATATTTCTTACTCTGTTAGTAGCTGTTTGTAGTTTTTTATTCCAACAAAAATTACAAAGTAATGTACAAAGTACAAATCAGTTATCCATTCATACAACAACTGTCGGAGGAACCCAGAGCCCCTAGAGGAACATACAAATATCACATACATACACAATAAATTAATTAAATCCCTTTTCAAATTTATGAAAAGCTCTTGACTCCCAAGAACTTGTGTTTTCAGACCCATCACTGCCTGAAGGGGAGAGAAACAAGGTGATCATTGGCGCCTCTGGTTTGGTGCTTGGTCTCGTGTTCTCCATCGCTGGATTGGTCTATTACAAGAAGAAGTCGACTGGTAAGAAGCCAAATCAGCATCAGCAGTATACATTCTGCCACAGTGTGTCTCTGATGAATAATGCTTCATGTTTTATTATGTTGCTCAACAGGGAGAATTCTGGTACCTTCAAGTTAAGGTAAGATTTATATTGACTAAAAATGGACATAATTTTATTGCATATACACATATTGGTACAGTATTATTAAATTAGCAGAAAGAGACCATGAGAAGTTTTTAAATTATAAATGCAATATGACACATCTACAACTGCTTTCATAATTAAAATTATGTCTTCATTCTCAGGTGTAGAAGAAGGGCCTGGATTGTGGGGATGTGTTTGATTACTCAGGATGATTCATGTTTTCGTCATTAACATTATGTATTTTCTAAGTCTTATATGCATGAATACAGTCAAATGTAAAATTCTGTAATCGTAAATGGCACAAGTTTAATATTTTTATATGTAACAAATATTACTGTATTTCCAGACAAGGGCTAGGGTTCTCTGCTGTATGTGTATCCTTTGCTGCATTGGGTTTGATGTCATAACAGGTACATTTCAGTTTTGCACAGCAAGGGAGGAGGTAGCAATCGTGCTTAGAATTAATTCTTTCCATTAAAAATCCATATTTATTGGTATATTGATATAGTAATGATGCAGAATTTTAAGAATGGATTCCTATGTGAAGTATTCACTGCTTCTTGTGAGGAGTCAGTATATTGTGATCAGATTCACTGTTAAACAGCAGGTCTCAGCTGGAACCCAGCAGTTTATAAGCCAAATTATGGAAGACTTTGTGAAACGGCAAAAGCAGAATTACATTTAGTTTTCTTTCCCAGAAAATATATTTTCCTAGATTAATTCCCACTGACTTGCTGGCTGGCTTATGACATTAAACCAAATTTTAAAAATTACTTGACAACTAGTCTCAAATTGATAAAAAAAAAAAGTTTTCAATTAAATAACCAGATAGCCTTCCATTGAATAGGATATAATCCCTTTTTGATCAAAAAATTGATCACAACAATATTTGTATTTGTATGTATTGCACCAGTTTAACAGTTTTATCTTTAGATTCTGTATAAATCAATTTAATCAGTAATAAAATTATCACTTTATTTAACATTTAATTTTTATCTTGTTGGTTGTACAATTCTTTACATTTTCATTTAATTCTCCAACTTAAATGCTTCTCAAAAAATGCCTAAATGAAATGAATGTTTTTTTTAAATTCTGTTCCTTTTAAAATATCACAGAAGATGTTTTTTGTAATAAAAGATGTGGACTCAAGGAAGGCCGGCAAATTGACACAAGTCTGATTTATGACAAAATTGAAATACATATTCATGGATGATTGTGACCTAGTTGAATACTCTAACAAATTGCTAAATTTATTAAGAGCTACTAAAGGGGACAAATTAGTGTTCTATGTAAACACTAAGATTCCTCTTTGATGCATATTTTTATGTTTTGAGATCTGAATTGTCAAACTGAGTTTTAGGTATAAAGCAGGTTTCAGACCGAACGCGGCATGCGCTGCGCTCGCCGCGGGGTTTGCGCTTCCTCCGAAAAAACAGCGAGTGCGCTAACGCGCCGTGCGGCTCAGCGCAAGAAGTAGGCGTGGTTTTCTAAACTCTCCTGTTTTGTTGTTGTCCCGTCCCGCGGTCAGTCACGACAATGTATAAAAGAAAAGCACTAGCTCTGTTAGCACCAAGAAAGAATAGGCTGTGGGTGCATGAGACCCTCATATCCAGAGAGCAGCTTGGGGAATTC